ATATACTTGTGTATAACCTATTGATGGTGATTGGCGGTTAATTTTTATTTTAAATCAGGAATACCAACGATACCAACGCTCGGCACATCAGTGGTTCCTATGGCTTAAACCCTATCTATGAATTCTAATGATTCTATATCACCATTTCATCACACATCCGCGGGTGTTTCATCTATGACTACTATAATATCTCTTATCTATGGTCTATTATTATTAAAAAAAATGGAATTTATAAGAATATTAGTAAATGCAATAAAGTAAATGTGTTTTTTGTTCTCAAATACACGCTTTCATATTGTACTTTGCCTTTTTAACTTTTTTAAACTATGATTAATTTACAAGTGCAAGAACAAGAAGTGTTTTTTTTTGTCAGTTTTATTAACAGTTAAAAAAAACGTTAAAGTCCTGCAAAACCTCCAAAAATGTCTTTATCTAACGGGGTGAGTAAATGCTAAATGCTAATTAATGGTTTTTGTGCACAATGTAATAAGTAATTAAGAAATATTGTATAATATGTTCACCTCGTTGATTTGCAATCATAAGTAAGTACTGTTAATTATTAATATTAATATGTATATGTATTATGTGGGTTTAAAAATCTCATTTGAATTTTAAGATAATAATGTTACATAATATTTACGCAAATAAACATGTTACTCTTTTTGGTTACAGATAAAATAATATGAATTATAAATCGTAACTTTAAAAGGTTACTTCATCAGTGACATTCACATATCTTGTTCCTAAACCTTATGTTTGAATTGTTTTTTGTTTAATCTTAAAAATGAGTGATATAGCTTCAATAAAGGACGACTCATTTGAGGTAATTCCAAATGAATTAATAAAACATCAGGTACAATAGGAACTATGAAACAAGCAAGTTATGACTATTTAATTAAGAAATTAACAATTCAAATCAGTAAAGCAAGTGTGGAGATTCTGTAAAGTTAAAAATAAGTTAGCTCAGAATTAGTAAGCTGCCGAATGATAATGATAATTAGCTTTAATTGTATTTAAATAATAATAATAAGAACATAAAATTTTACTTTACATAATATACTTTCCTAAACAGCAGTAATTATTTTATCACACTTACTGATTGGTTATATCACCTGTTTTTAGCATGCATTTTGACCTTCTTATCACAAGCAGATATTTATTTTTTAAGTTGTAAAAATAGGGGGGGGATAATGGGTTTCAATCCCCCATTAATAAGACTGCAAAGTAGATTGTAAAATATGTATTGCAGTTTTTTTATTGCTAATACTTATTGAGTCGTTGATATTTTACTTTTGCACACATTATTTGAAAACTAGTAAAAAAGTCTGAAAAATATGAATATGAAATAACGAATGTTCGCATTGTTCGGTTTTCTTCGATGTTGGTGAGATTATTGACATTCTTGCTGGTTTTATTTTAGAAAAGCACCCGACACTTAAATAATCATTTTATGAAGGCGTATTTCTTCTTGCAGGTGCTACCGTTTGCTCTTGGAATAGGCATAATCGTTATAAGCGCAGTGATATACCAGTTGTTTTTTTCTAAAACTGGCATAAAAGGTAGCTCTAATTAATTTAATGTACGTTTCGATATTTTTTTTTTACTGTAGGTGGTAAAAAGAAGAAATTAGTTACTTTAGAGGATCCTCAGAAGAAGTATGCATTGCCACTGATAGAAAGACATGAAATTAATCACGACACTAGAAGGTTCAGATTTGGACTTCCTTCACCTAATCATGTTTTGGGTAAATTGATTTTAAATGAATGCACTTGTTAATTGTCCTTTTAATGTTTATTTTATGTAGGTCTTCCAATAGGACAACACATTCACTTAAGCGCAAAAGTAGGAGGCGATTTAATAATTAGGTCTTACACACCAGTTTCAACAGACGACGATTATGGATACGTGGATTTGGTGATAAAAGTTTATTTCAAAAATGTTCACCCTAAATTTCCAGACGGGGGAAAAATGTCACAATATTTGAACAACATGACATTGGGGGAGACTGTTGATTTTAGGGGTCCATCTGGCCGTTTACAGTACATTGGCCCAGGGAAATTTTTGATTAAAAAACTACGCAGCGATCCTCCTCAAGAAGTAAATGTGTCGAAAATTAACATGATAGCTGGAGGTACTGGAATTACTCCTATGCTTCAGCTAATACGACATATAACAAAAGACCCCCTGGATAATACAAAATTGACATTATTATTTGCTAATCAAAGTGAAGGAGATATTTTATTGCGAGATGAGTTGGAAGAGGTAGCCAAAAATTATCCTGAGCAATTCAAACATTGGTACACCATTGATAGAGCAAGTGATGGTATTTGCTAATTTAAAGCTTGTTATGTAGTAATGTTAATCCTGTTATATACATTTTAGGATGGAAGTATAGTGTAGGATTCGTGAATGATGTTATGATCAAGGAGCATATGTATCCTCCAAGTTCTACTACATTGGTTTTAATGTGTGGTCCACCTCCGATGATTCAATTTGCATGTATTCCAAGTTTAAAAAATTTGGGATATAATGAGAATTTGCATTTCTCCTATTAATAATAAACATTTTTACTATTAAGTCATGCAAAAGATGGAAAAATGATGGTCACTTTATTTTAGTTCTATTCACAATAATATTTTTATTGTATATATGTAGTAGTAGTATGATTTTCTGCATTTTTCATTCTAAGTTGTATACATTTCGTTGGCAATAATACTGATNGACCACCCTACAACTCATAATATATATAAAGATACTTTAATTATCTTGTCGTTATTAGCTTTATGTATTTTTTTCTCTGTAAACATAAGATAGGAAATACACCGGTTTTACTACTTTCGTTAATTTTTTGCTTTTTGTTTTAAAAACAAAATTTTCTCTTGTTGGGGTATAATCTAACACCTATACTTTGGTTTCTGGTTTTGTTGAACACCTACAGTAAAATGCTTAATAATAGTAATCGTGAAAGCAAATAGATGATCAAACAAATAATAATATGTAATTATTGTTAACAGTGTTAAACAAACTATTGTTAACGATTAATCTTTCATCATAAACATTCGATCATCCGTCAATGAAACAAACGCTTATTTAAAAAAAATCGATTTCAAGAAGTAGACAGGGTAATATTTTTCTACTTCCCTTTTAAGCGCGGAGCAATTTTCGAAATGGCAAGAAGAACGGATACAGCAAGGACAATATTTCTTATGCATCCACCAAAGAACGCGTCACACGTATACAGGTCCTTGATTATCGCTTGTATCGTCGAGATTAATCCTGTTGAAGACAGGTCCGCCACCATCGTCGAAAAATCGACGAAATGTAAATTCAAAAAATCCGTGAAAAGGTCGCGACGAGTCCAGGATTTCGTCTGATGCACTGGAATCGATTGAATTCGAATTGCGCAATTTATCAGGATCGACCGGATCAAAGTTAGACGTGTCGGTTGGATAATCGATTTTTGGTATATGAGGAGCAGGTTGTCGCCTGAGACCCTTTTCGAAATCAATCCCGCTAAAGAATGGATGCGCTTTTACTTCGGTCGCATTTTTTCCTAATCGCTTATCCGCGTTCGTACACAGCTTCAATATCAAGTCCGTACTTTCTTTTGAAAGGTTGGCTTGCTTCGGTATGTGTAACGTAGTTTCCCAGTTTATCACCTTGTAAAATACGAAAAGTTTATTAAGTGAAACAATTTTGCGAAAGACGGGAGGATGTTTGATGTTTACCTTAAATTGAGTCTCGGCAGGAGTATTGGCTAGAAAAGGTGGACTACCCACAAGCATCTCGTACAATATCACGCCGACACTCCACCAATCGCAGAGTTGCGTGTATCCAGTGCGTTGCAACACTTCAGGAGCAATGTAATTCGGTGTGCCGACCAACGAGTGTGCAAGACATCGCTGATGCTCCTGGCGACGTCGCCTCTCTAACGGCTTCATTGCTTTACATCGGCATTCTTCGTTGTTCCAGTCTTCCATCGGCTCCATGGAATCCTGTCTGCTGTGATCACCTAAAATTAAAACAAAAAACAAACACAAGTCATATATGATATTTGAAAACAAATAATTAAGCAGCTTTCACTCACCATTCGGTTGATAATATTTTGAATTATGTGTCCAACGAAAACCTGTGCACAATCCAAAATCGGTTAGTTTGATGTGTCCATCTCTATCAATCAAAATATTGTCCGGCTTGATATCTCTATGAATGAAACCCATATTATGAACGCTCTCGATAGCACATGTTAATTCTGCCACGTAAAATCTGGAGTAAAACAAAAGGAACGTTATCGAGTATATTGAGCTATATAAATACGTAGCTTTTTTAATAAAATGAATTACCTCGCCAAAGGCTCTTCAAACACTCCCAGTTTAATTAATAGTGACATAAGATCGCCTCCAGGTATATAATCCATGACAAAATAAAGGACATCGCTGTCTTGAAACGAATAATATAATTTGACAACCCATTCGTTATCTGCCTCGGCCAAGATATCCCTTTCGGCTTTAACGTGTGCCACTTGATTTCTCTTAAGCACATCAGCTTTTCGTAATGTCTTCATAGCATATAAATGATTTGTGTCGATTTTTCGTACTAGAGTAACTTCTCCAAATGCCCCCACACCGATCGGTTTGATTTTTGTGAACATACTCTTATCCATTTTGGCCCTTTTCAGTCGTATGTAATTAGATTCTTTTTGAGAAAGCATTTTCCGCATTTGACACTGTGCCTCTGGACTTAGTCCGATCTTTGTCATTTCGTTCTCCAATTGAAGACGCCGGAAGATTCGTTGTCTATAAGCTTTGATTACATTCTCGATGTGCTGCTCCATGAAAAACTTAAAAGCTTGCGGCGAATAATTTTTCACTTTGCCGTCCCTTCTTTCTTCCTCTTTTTCTTTGCTGATCTTCTTCCGTTCCGGAATGGGCGACTGGTGTTTAATTTTTTTATAAGGTGGTAGTTGAGGGGGCGGCGGGTTGTTTTCCTTATGTTCTGCTTTACCATTAACAGACGGCACATTCTGCTTGTTCTTCGAAGTGACCGACGATGATACTGAAAATTAATTAGGTAATGGAAATATTAATTTAATAATTATAAACAGTGATCTATTGACTAACACGTAGGTGGCAGAGGAGGAGCTCCGCTTAAATCTGGAATCGAGTGCCTGCCTTCACTAGATGAGGCCGAGTGAGGACTGTCTGAACGGCAATGAATGTTTTCTGAAGGCATCGCTGGTGAATATTTTCTTTGAAGAGGCGCATGTATCTTGAAACAATGATATGTAATGCAATTATAAATTTAACAGACAAAATAAAAATTACCGGAGTCATTAAACACAGTACCAAGAAACATGGGAATTAGAAAAAAAATCTTACTTGAGGCGATGTTCTTGGAGTAATTCCCGATTCTACCGTCGCCACCTGAGCTAAACTGTCATCTCCGCTACCAGTTGAATAAGGTAACGGGGGAATCGCAATTCCTCTTTGTACCGCTTTTGCTTTAGCTTCAGCCTGCAATAAAAATGCCTTTAAATCTAAAGAAAGAAAAAAACAATGTGTCAAGTGACCGACCTTAGCTTGCATTGTACTCGCATAACTAGGTGGCTCGGTGGTGGGTACGACCAACGGTGACGTATTGTTACCGTTTGTAGTTGAAGATGGCGATACATTTGTAGGGAGAGCTGCGACAGGTTTTGACAAATGCTGTGCTTGTTGTTGTTGTTGTTGCTGCTGATGTTTCTGTTGAATCGAAGCTGTGTATGAAGGCGGAGGTACGGTTGCAGCGGGTGGAGTTGTACTAGTGGGCGAAGCGGAAATTTGAGGCGACGTGGGCGCTATAGCGGTCTGCAAGATTGGTTTTTGTACCTGTGTACTTTTCACAGATTGCATAATAATCGGAGGCTGGGTCTTGGCTTGCCGTGCGCCCCAAGCCTGCAGGGGCGTAGGCCTAGCCAGAGCTGTGGGGGTAGTTGTTGCTACGGGAATAGGGCTGGGCGATCCTTAAAATGAAGGGAAAGACAAGTTTATTAGCATACTATAGAAAATTTTTTAAGATTAGCGTCTCACCGGCTGATGTTCCTCCGGAATATATTCCAGACGACGGACTTTTCCTAAAGTCCTGAGTAGGACTTTGCCTATTTTGTATAGATGCAGAATAGGAAGGCGGCGGAGGTGGTGCTACTGATGGAGACTGTGGTATAAGTGGATAAGGTGGAGGAGGTTCCGATGCTGATGATGTACTCTGATATAAACTCAATGCTTGGATTTGTTGCGACAGTTGCTGTTGTACTTGGGGTCCGTTTTGAACTACCATTGGCTGACGAGCAGACGATGATGAAATGCTACTAACTGGACTAGTGCCTAAAAAATAACGTTACTCTCGTAGATAATCGACTTTTCAATGATTAAAAAAAAAAGGATACATTCTTACCCCTTTGTTGAGAAGACGTAGAACTATAGGGTGGAGCTGGCGGGGCTCTAGATGGTAAAGCCGGTGCCGGTGACATTCTCTTAAATAACTGCTGTACGTTGCTAGGCACGGGTTGGTAAGCGACATGCGGCGGAGGTGGGGGAGGAGTATTTCTGGGAGGCGGTGGAGGGGGAGGTTCATTAAAATTACTCGGAGAATATTGGCGACTGGCAGGTGGATGCAGTTCGGCGAGACGAGGACTATCGGACCGTGAGCTCCCCGCGCCGCTATCAACCGCAGGACTGCCTCGTAGGCCCAGTTCGCGTTCGATACTTGGCTTGCGAATTAATTTTTTGTAGCTTGTTTTTGAATTCGCGTCAAGTTGTTGCTTAAGAAGGTAATCAATCGCTCCTTCTAAACGGAAGCCAGAAATTTGAAGAGCTCGCACCGAACAGTCCTAAATTGAAACAGTATTAAATGACTCTTATACATACAAGTTTGAAACAGTAAATTAAATTGTACCTCTGAATATCCCATAGTTAAAAGTTGCGCGAGCATTTGTCGCAGCTGATAGAGGTCGGTAGTACCGTTACTACCGGAAGCGGTACTCATGGAGGATACGCCGCTGGTAGCTGAGAGAGTGGATATGGAGCTGGCAGCACTAGAGCTCAGAACTTCACCACTGCCACTGCTTTTTGCGAAAGGCAATAGTGAATTGTGGATTTCCTCCATGGCCTTCTGGTGATATCCCGACGAGCGGGCGCTGGGAGTACTGGGGTTCATGCTGCGCTGTAATGGAGACTGAGGCTGCTGGCCCATGCTGCGGGGACACCCCCAGTCAATTAACGATTAATGTATTACATTACGACACTACTATTATTCGCTCCACATGGTTCTCGTTTATAACTTTGCACCATTTTATACGATAATTTCAATAACAATTAGTTGTGGTAATAAATAACACTTCTGCTCAATGATCCATATAGGTATAGATTTAAAAGGACATGAGAGTCTGAAAATAGAGTAAACAGACATAAGTTAACTATCAATGCTAAAGCATATATTGTCATAAAATGTATATTTATTACTCAAGAACGAATAAGTTTTTAAATCTACCATAAAAATTTGATTTAATATATATATATATATATACGTGCATCTAATGTAGGCATTAATACACAAGTAAATTTATTTGCACGAGTGTGTGACAGTCACATGCAATTTTTTCAATTGTATTTACTAGAAAATATACATAAAATATTCATAACAGATTCTAAAAGAATTCGAATTATTCATTAATAGCTGCCAATGTGCAGTAGCAAATAAAGCCTCAAGCGCAGTTTGAGGTATGTGCCAAATTAATATCAAATGTCTCACTCTTTCTACATTCCAATTATATATTCTTTTGCAATGTGACAGGATAGGTAATTATTTCTTGTTAAAAAAGAGCACTGACCAATCTAATACATGCCTAGATATGCTAATGGAGAACAAATACCTTTAAAAGTGAGGAGGCAATAAATAAATATTAAGCCATTTCCTGACATTTAAAAACTAGATCCATCTTATTCTATAAGGAATTTAATAACACCACACACACATTTCACACTATAGAAACNTTAAGTTACGTTTCATAGTTATATGTATAGATGGCAGTGAATATTCGATGTTTTCTTTGCCAGATCAATTTATATATATATTCCAAGTATCATCTACTAATGTGGGGTAAACTTAGATGTCACTAGTATCGTCAATATCTTGCAAGTTTTACATCAATTTCCTAGTCTACGGTGTACAGTTCACTGTCCATTGCTGAATCATAAATAATAATATGATGGAAGATTAAGAATTTATAATTTCTGTTTGGATCCTCCCATGCTTATTACTAATACCATAGAAAAATTAAATATTATTTGTGGTTATTTATAATAAATCACATAATGGTTAATTCCGCTTACTAAAATAATTCAAAATTCAGGCAAAATGACGCAATCGTTTGCTGTCTATCAAATATAATATTGTCAATATTATTTAAATAAATTGACAATTGAATTTCCACCTGCGCCCTAAACAATTTTCCTTTTTTTAACACAATTAATTGACACACCATTATGGTACTTACTTACTTAGAACCCGCAAATGACGCAAAATCAATTCATAAAGTTTGAATCTGCAGATTATTTATATCGGGTGCCAGATTCACAGGACTATTTTACACTGAGGACCATTGACGGCTATGCTCCATGCTTGTGCTTCTATGATATGCACTAACGGTTACTTTTTTCAAAATCGAGTGATCTATAACAAGTGTTATTAATTTCTTCATAAATTAAATAAAATGATTTTCCACGTTACTGCTTGCAAGTCATGAGTTCTCAAAGTATAGCAATAAGTAATTTAGCTGAAAAACTTCGTTGTGATAATTACCACCAGTTTAACGTTCTTGTAAGAATGCATTTATCTTTCGTTTTGGACTTTCATACCACAGAGTGAGTAAAATATGTTTTCAAAATAAACTGCATGCATGCTTACGTTATATTTCCGTTTTAAGTGGTTTAATAAGTGAGAAAAACAAGTTAAAAAAGTGGCCATTTTATAAAAAAAGCAAACATAATAGTAAGGCAATCGTGGATGGAGCACTTACAACTCAAGAAGGGATTTCTCAAGTATATCAGTTAATTGAATTTTTAAAAAAAGAGCAAAGTAATTGACTTTTCATTTAAATTTTATGGACAAACATGAGCATATGTATTTCAGATATCACCTGTGTTGGTATATTCAGAAGAACAGGTTCCCTTACTCGCCAGCAGGCTCTAAAAAATTTGTTGATTCAAGGTAGCGAGCTTTGCTTAGAAAACAGCAAGTTTAGTGTACATGATTGTGCTTCAGTTTTGAAAGGTTTTCTAGCAGAACTATCAGAACCCTTATTAACAGATGCCCATTTTCCAGCTTATTGTCAGTTAGCAGGTAAACATTCTAACACATTTTTAACTAATAAGAAACTAAAGGAGTTATTTATTATTTAGAACTGTTTGGAACTACTAGGAGACCAATGCAGGAGGTCCGGCTTTTAAGAACATTGCAATTACTCTTACTCCTTTTACCCTTAGAAAATCGTGAACTGTTGAGAAACTTATTAGATCTTCTACATTTAACAGCTTTCTTTGAAAATCACAATAAAATGTGTGCTGACAGTTTGGCCACTCTTTTCACTCCCCATCTTCTTTGTCCACGTAAGCTATCTCCTGAAAATCTTCATATAAATTCACAAAATCTTTCTGGGATTGTATCATTTATGATTAAAAAATCTCCTGAATTGTTTGACATACCACCAAAACTTGCAGTAGACATAAAAGCTTACTATACAGAAAAGGAAAAGACGAAATTGCAGTCTCTCAGGTGGGAAGTGAATGAATCTATATGCGATACAGCAAAAACTGTTTATAGTTTCGTTGATCATGAAAAAACCACAAAAGAAAATCAATCCAATCCAACAGAAACAGCTTTGGCTCAGTTATATGCTCATATTCAGAGCCTGCCCGAGTCTTCAAAGAAAAGAAAATTAATAAAACAATTTAATAAAGAAAATGGTCAAGGTATTCCACTGCAAGTGTTAAGATGCGTTACTGGTATTTCTCCTGGTGAAAAAACGGTTGGAAGCTCTTTAAAAAAAATCAGAAGTTTTGCTAAAACAATGAAAACCAATAGATTTGGAAGCCAAAGATCCTTCAGTGATGAGTTTCTAAGTGTAAGTACATTTTTTTATTGTTTATTTGGTTGTGTCAATAAATTCATGATTATAATTTTACGGGTTAATAATTCCTTTAGTCGTTATTGTAAATGTTATATGTGAAGATCTGCTGTGAAATGTTCTTTTACATTGAATGTTTGTCTTGTGCTAACATTCTTTTTTCATTCCTTTTACTGATCACTTTTAGTCTGTTAGTAACGTACCTAGATTGCGCCTATTTTGCGCGAATTGCGACGAAAATTCAGACGGAACGACCAGCGAGAAAAATAATCTCGTAACACATATCTGCAACAGTTGTGACAGTTGCTTCATTACCGATGATGTATCCCCGATATCTGAAAAACGTAGCAAGTCTGACCTAAATCTAAGCTCTTCTATAGACTGCATTACCAGCACACCAGTCTCATACTTTCAACAACGTCCGTATTTGGAAAACGTGACTGGTACTTTTACACCTACTGACGACCGCGAAAGCCTATCCGACTCTCCAATTACCCGATCAACTCACCGAATGAGTAAAACGATGCAGGTTTGTATTGCCTTAATTTGCTATCTTATGAACTTTATGCATACAGCTTTAACTAACTTGTGCACACATCAGCTGTACACATGTAGATTACATATGATATTTTAAATGAGTATTAAAAGCTTTATTGAAAATTCCTACTATTATAATATCATTACACATAATAATCATTATTATTTCGACTTCAACTGATAGTTTATTTATTCTTTTAGAATTTTGTATTTAAAATGTTATCTTGCATGTAAATGAATTTAAAAATGTAGGAGACAATGATGACCCCGAGGAGTAGAAAGCCACTTCTGTTGGTTTCTGGAACTAACTTGACAAATTTCCCGAAACTGAAAACTTGCGAAAATATGAACAGCTTGGATGAAGTTTCTAAGTCAGAAATGAAGAACAAAATATCTCTAAGACGATCAAGAAGCGTTTCAAGTTTGAACAGCGCAAAGGACGAAAAAGAATTATCATCTTTAAGTAAAACATTTATAAACTATACCAATAAAGGAAGTATAATACTAGCTTCCAGTAGCGAGGTAATGTTCGTCGATGTTAATGATTTGTCACCAAATGAAATGGGTTCACCATTGTCAGATTGCTTAAATGGGAAAAAGGTTCAAGAGAGCTTCAACCATTATGAAAAAGAAGACGTCAAATATCAAAAACAATTAGTGCTTCAATCTCAACGATATGATGAAAATGGAAAGCCTACTGTCTATGAAACATCATTTTGACAAAGGTGTAATATTTAAAAATTCGAATTCCTTAAATTAGTAACCATGTTTTATAGACACTAACTTATTTATTATCCATTAAACAAAACTAAATAAAAATATAATAGTTTTGTTTATAACCAACTTATAAAATAAAGGTAATTATTAGAACATATCGTCTTGATTGAGGTCTGCCATTAAGTTTAGACCACGTTCCTTTAGTGCTTTTGTAAGAAGTCTTTGTTGCTCCTGTTTAGATTCATGTTCACGGCGTTGGGCATCNTGTGCCAGGTATGTATATTTTTAAAATAAATGAGCCTTAGCGAATGTTCGGGAAGTCATTAATTAGCCTCTACTGATAATAAAATTATTGTTTCAAATGTATAATTTGTTTAATCGTTTATTGTCTAACTGTGTAACATGGGCATAAGATTTGGATGATGTTATCCGCCCATAATACATAAGTAATTGTACTCACAAATAAACATTTTGGTCTATTTTGCAACTTTTTTATTAAATTAGCAGAAAACATGCTTTTTAATTAAATTGGTTTGCAAGTTTATTAAACTTATATATACATATGTGTTTCTTTTTATTGTAATATTAGACCCGCAAACGGGTATTATTATTACCCCATGCATTAGATTGGTTGCATAACAGTAATACATTGATTTGACAAATTCTATTAATTAATATATTTAGGTAATGATTAAAAAACACTTACTTATTCATGCGAGTTAACGACTGGTCGCAGCTCTGCCCGGACACTCGTTTATTTCCAGAAAGATCCCGTCCTCCTGATNTACTGTACTAAATTTATTCAATTTTATATTAACTGATTTGCATGCTATTGTATTAAGTAATAATGGGATAATAAATTACCACATTTACAGCGTTTATTTAACTTTTACTGTTACTGTATTACATCGTCATAATATAAAAAGAAAGATTAGGAAATGTAAAAATAAAAAAATATTAAATTATTTATCAAATATAGTATTATTTCATCGAACAACGAATGTGCAGGTTTCATCCATAACACGTCCATTGTCGCTTTTCATATTATAAAAAAGGATTTCTATTCTGCAGATGCCTATGTGGACATAATGTTATTAGTTCATCACATACAATAAAAATACGTAAACACAAAAAAAATTTATTAATAAAGACTAAAACTATTTGAACAAGGATCTCACAAAACTGTATTTTCAGCAGGACAATGTTTGACTAATGTTCACGAAAATATGATCTATTCTTTTGCAAATTTAGATTGTTTCGTTTCATTATAAAAATAACATTGAACTCACATGAAACATTCAGGTAGAATTCTTATAATAACCTGGAGCAGTCCCGCAGGATTCGTCAGTTTGTCTGTAGTGCTGTAGTTGAAGTAAAACTTTCTGGTTAAGTGGCAAGTCCTCAATACAATCCTTGTAGGTTAAACAGATATTGCACAAAGAACGTTTTGCAGCTGCATTAATGTTGTGCTTCATCCTGATGCTATGTTCTTTAAATGCACGACCTCTCTTATTCAACATTAATAGTCTGTTTAACTTTTCAATGCCCTCTCTTAATTCCAAGAGTGTGATTATTAAGATGTGTAAATCTTTTTGTACTACCCCATAAGTGTCTTCAAAATAAGCAGCGACAGCTATGTTAGAAAGTGCTTGAGTTAACCAGACAATAAGTTGACCACTCCTTAAAAGGCTATGAACGTTGGCCTCGGTTATTTCACCAAAAAGATAATCATATGCAAATGCTTTCTTTAATTTGGTCATGAAACCACTTAGTTTAATTTTCATTTGCATACACAATTCCATCTGTTTCAACACTAATGTAGGAAACTGATAAGTAGTTTGTACCGTTTCAATAGTTGGTTCTGTGTTAATTAAAGTCATATTTCGCATATTCCTATATTTTGGAGTATTTGAAGATGCTTGATAAAAAAAATTTTTATGACCACTGACAATTATATTTTGTTCAGCTTGACTTTCATGTCTCACAGTTACTGAAGTTTTCTTTTCTCTAGCTTCTTCTTTCTTGGGTTGTTCCAATATAAAATTAACTGAATCATTTAAACTTTTAGTAAATTGTGAAATTACTTTTACTGCACTGGCAAAAACTTGATTCCAATAACGAGGATGTTCCCCTGGCTGAGATAAAGAAAATAACACTTTTCTTCTGCTGATAGACCATACTGATAACAGGTACAGATCTAAACAAGCTAAATGTTGGATGATTGGTATTCTACTGTATTGAATAGCAACTGTTAGTGATATAGATGTTCCTGTGCTTTCTTCAAGTGGAAACTGAATTTCTTCAGTCAAAAATAGTTTAAAAAACAGGTTCATGAGATTCATGAAAAAATAGTAAGCAACTGTAAAAAGCCAAACATAAATGTAAGACGTAACACTCAGTCTAATGGGTTCATATATCACATTTAAGATATTAGAAATAGTTTGACATATAACTGATCTACAAAAGAAACAAAATAAAAAGTAACTTATTGCAGGCCAAGTTGCCATTCTCCTACTTTCCTTAAACAGTGGAAAAAGCAGTGTTTTGAATTGAACCAACTTTTTTTGTTGAAGCACAGGAAACTGTATAAACTTCTCCCGAGTGCAATAGCTTGTGAAGAAAAAAAATCCAATCCAAAAGCCACTTAAAATAATAAATAAGTTTTCTTCTGCCAAACAAAAATGATTCTTTTCATTGGAATAATATAAGAGACTGTATCTTTTTCCAGATAATGATAAATAAAGCCAAATATTTAGGAACCCAGCCATCATATGTAATAACAGTAACACAATACTATGAACAGAGAAGTGTAATATAAATTTTCTAAATTTGGAGACATTATACATTGGTTTAGCCACATAATCCTTGGCATTAACGATGCTTTGTGCAAAAACGATACTTGCAAGAGGAAAAATATATAACCACGTATTTATCGACGACACTGCTTGAAGAACATTTTTAAACCATTCCAATGGATGAAGTACATTAATGTTCGTTACAAATAGGAATGCACAAAGGGTAACTATTTGCGTCAGAATGCTACACACAACTGCACTTGATAGTTTCTTTAAAATAATACCTTTACAGTTAGCACTAGCCGAGACCATTGTTTACGATGTCGACAGTAGCCTTTACTATAAGCCTTTTATGTCCGATGAAAAGGCTACAAATAACACTTATTAATATTAAAATTTTTAAAATTTCTTACTAACTTTTTAACGGCTTTGAACCTATACAATGAACACGTCCATAGATAATAGAGGGTAATGTCAGAAATATAGGTTATGTTATACTTGGTTATACTTTAAAGTTGCAAATTTACGCTAGGCGTGTTTCCTTACACTATTATTTATGGCCTTAGAACCGTTGCTATCGGGAACGTCTCGTTTTCAGAAGCTTTTGCATGTGAAATACATTTGATTTTGGTCATAGATAATAATTCTCGCCATAATTCTAACTGTCACACCATGATGAGCTACGAATTTTGCCGAACGCTGACAGCGTTTTGTATAGTGTTCGTTCATATTCTATGAACACATTTAAATGGTTTTAATGAAATGTTCCGAACTTTATCGAAAGCAATTACTTTGTAATGTCTAATCGTCGCGCGACATTTGAATTAAAGCAAATAAAGCAAAGAACATCCGCTTTTCAGGTTGAGAAGATATGTCTCATTAATTGTTCTGTTTACATTAAATTTTTCAAACAACTATTTCACAACACGTTATGCTTTACATAACTCTAAATTAGTTTAAATTTTAATCATAACTTTATTAATGCACACATTTTTAAAGGTTAAACCATAGATAATAAAAATGCTCATAGAATATGAATGGTATACAGCTGTCAGCGTTCGACTATATTCGTGGCTCATCATGGTGTGACAGCTAGAATCGAGTATAAAATACATATTTATATCAATATCATCAGTATACACAATATATACAGAAGTTTCAGGCGCCATATTGTCGATTTTGACCCAATCCAATATATACTTACATTTTTTCTGTTGAATATCTGTCATCGAGTGATAAAAGTTGATATTTGTGACCGAAATATGCCTGTGATATTGTGTATTTGTCGATTTTAAAAATATTTTGTAAATTTTAAGCAATAGTCGATGTGATTCCAAATTAAGTATATAACTATACTTCCGTTAAACGACTAGGTCATTGTCATATTTCAAGTGTAAAGTGAATAGCAAGATGAGTACAAGGGACGACGAATATGATTATTTATTTAAAGGTAATGGGTTTTTGCAAAAGCATTTTTGTCCTATGATGATCAGTGAATAATTATTATAACTGAAGTGGCCGTTGTAATTCAAAGCTGTTGACAACCCATAAAAGTGTCAAGGGTCAGAAAAGTAAAAAATTTTAATTATTCGTAAGTGTTATGTGAATACCTATATTGATTTTTATCAGATATTGACTGGTGTAATGTATGGATATAAGTTTATATCAATAACAATAAAATCAGTTTGTTTTTTTCCAAAAAGGCTACATATGTAGGTATTTGCTTTTATTGGAACATTTAATCAATAATGGGTTACGGTACGAGCAAAATTGAATTTTATTTTAGTAATTTAAAAAATGAGGATGTTAATTAGTAATTTTATTTAACAGTAAGTAATAAGTCAGGAGCAGCTTATGACAATACTTTTTCTGTGTTTGCTAATGGATTGTTATGGTCCAATAATAGCATAAAAAAAATTCTTCTTTTCTTTGTGATGAAAAAGATAAAAAAAAATTGTTGAATGTATTTTTAGTGGTTCTTATCGGGGATTCGGGCGTTGGAAAAAGCAATCTTCTTGCTCGTTTTACTAGGAATGAATTTAATTTGGAGTCCAAGTCCACAATAGGAGTCGAATTTGCAACTCGAAGTATACAGGTAAATAAGTGGTAAATGTCTACCATATTCCAATACTATATGTTGCTATTGTCCCTTGTAGGTGGATGGTAAAACGATAAAGGCGCAAATCTGGGACACCGCAGGTCAGGAGAGATACCGAGCTATAACAGCAGCTTATTACAGAGGCGCAGTTGGAGCTCTACTTGTCTATGACATTGCAAAACATTTAACATATGAGAACGTGGAACGTTGGTTACGGGAATTGCGCGATCATGCTGATCAGAACATAGTAATCATGCTAGTTGGAAATAAATCCGATTTGCGACATCTACGTGCCGTTCTTACCGACGAAGCCAAAGCCTTCGCTGAAAAAAATGGACTTTCCTTCATTGAGACGTCAGCACTTGATTCCACTAATGTTGATAACGCTTTTCAAAATATATTAACAGGTAAATTTGTTTGTTTTTATGTGTGTATATATTATGACATATGTTGCTATTGTTTTAGAGATTTATAGAATTGTGTCGCAAAAACAGATAAGGGATCCTCCTGAAGGCGATACAATAAGACCTCAAAATGTAGAGCCTATAGATGTTAAACCGACGATGAACACAGACAGCGTTCGTAAGCAATGCTGCCAGTAACAGAACTTATTTTTTCTATGTTGTCATAAACATTTAAATATTAATGAAGTACATGAAGGTAAGAATTTTTCTTCTGATTTTATTAATGTGTTTGTTGTTTTTTAATTCATTGCCTTCAGATCAAAGAAGCAGTGGCACCTAGTGATGATTGTCCCACATTGAACACGATGCTATAAAAAAGGAAAATTGGTAGTTACAAAAAAAAAAACAATGTAAATAATAATTAACAAAGTATCGAGGATATTGAAGAATTATGTGGTTAATATTAATTGTTATGCTGCACACAATATAAAAAAAACACCTGTGACACTCATACACGAATAGCGCTGCTTTTTACTAACAATTGTACTACAGTTATTATGCCTACAGTTTTTGTTTTTGAATGAAAAGAATAATAGTTGTTTATATATTATTATGTAGATAAATTAAAGAGAAAGAAGGAAAGAACATTACTATTATTATGTATACTTTTCTTGTATTTTGTATTACTATGATTATTGTATGTATAATTGTAATTTTGGCTGCCACGCAGGCATTATTATTCATTTTCAATTGTGATTAAAAGAGTAAACGTATTTTTAATTTATTTTTATATCTACACCTTTTCTATTACATTTGTCTTGTTACTGATACATCTGTCAAGTAATCAGGTGTTTAAATAGTAAAAAGGCCTATCATATACTTGTTAATGAAAAACAAAAAAGGTAATTTATGTTAATTTGTAAATTGATTTTATCAGTTTTTTCATTGCATTAAACGTTTCTGGATATGTATAGTGAGTATTAATTATTATTGCTATTATTATTAATGCTGTTAAGAATGTAGGTACGTGGATAGTAAATGCATTAAATATGTAAAATAAGCTAAAGCCTACTACAATTTACTTTTTAAATAAATTAAAGAAAATTTAAGTTTTTTTTTTCAACTATTTGTTGGTCAGGTTTCAATGGTTAGAGAAAATAAATATCTACATGTAAAATACTATTCAGTATATTATAACTTTGCGACTTGGATTTTATATTTGTCATCGATTCCATGCATAACAGTCTTGAAATCACACAATTTCAATATAAATAACACTTAAAATATAAATAAATACACATTGTGTTCGCGCCATTTGCTTTCATACCATCGACGTTCCTTTTTCTCAGTTTATCATACTCTTCTTTTAAGCTAATGCAACTCATTATTTACAAGATAAAATATTTATACAGTTATTCGAAATACATGTCACATTTTTTAATATATTACATTTTATACATTTTAGAAAACTTTCAGTAAATCTAATTTAAAATAAGTTATGAATTATTCAATACTACAATGACATATCCATAAAGGCAAAACGTTTCAATAAGGCACAAGTTTATTTATTAAACACGGTAAATGCTGTGAAAATAGAAATCTAAAAAATACCAGAATTATTCTTTTAAAAACAAATTTATAGAATTTTTGTCTTTTATACAGTGCTATTTATTTATTTAATAAGAAATTTGAGCGTTAGAGAGCAGTCATTTTGGCAGCGAAGCTACGCATGAGATGTGCTTTTACGTGTATTAAAAGGTTCTTGACCAAATCCGCAACGTCATCTTAGCAGTTCTTTATGGATAGCCATCACATATCACATTTATTTAAACATTTAGCCTATAATGTTATTACTATTTATAATAGTTATAATAGAATATAGCACCATTATTTTCGACACTAAAATTTAATGGACT